CTGGCCTTGCGTCAGGTGGGCCACAGAAGAGCTCCTTGAGGACCCACCATCCCGGTCCTGCCCCACCAGCCCCACAGACAGCTGCTGGCCCCACCTCCGACCACTCGCCCATCATGGCTACGTCTGCAAGCTAGGAACAGTGCTCCCCAGCAGTGAGGAGGTTTTGTGAAGGTCTCCAAACACATAAGTCAGAGCATGGCAGAAGCAAGGCTTGGACTCACTGAGGAGATTTTCTCACCCCATACAGCCTCAGTACAGCTCCAAGTCCCCTTGCCCAGGCACGCCCCCCACCCCCCACCCCAGCCTGGCCTGTCCCAAATGGCTCTACCTTGACGGACCCCACGCCAGCAGGGCCAGCACCCACTGGACCCCTCCACATCCTCCTCTGCATCCCAACACTGGAGATGCTGGGGGGCGCAGGTGGCCCTGCAGGACACATCCACATGGTGTGGGTCCCCCAGCACCCTCTGTCACTGGGATGTGTCCCAAAACCAGAGGGGTGATGACACACGGTGTCTTACCAACTCTTCACACAGGGGATGTTTCATCCTCCTGGCAACATCCAGGGCTGTCTCTCCTGCTTCGTTAGCTGTGGAGGGGAAACAGAAGCCTTGAACACTGCAAGCCCACCCTGTGTTTAGCAGTGAAGAGCAGTGCTGCATTCAGGGCATCTGGCGGCAAATAAACCCAAAAGAAGGGACAGCCTAAACCCGGATCAGCATAAAGGCTCAGGCCATTGAGGGATGGTGGTGGGAAGATGAAGGAGAGGGCATAAGCTGAGACACCCAGATAAGGAGAGAGAGGAGCACAAGTAAATCCTGATGACTCACAGAGACGGGACAGGGTAGAGGTACAGAAGAGCTTGGTCACTGCCAGACCCTAAAGGCTACAAAACCAGAGGAGGACTCCATAGCCAGCACCCCCTGTCCTATGTCATCACAGGGAGCTTTGGGCAGACCTGGTACATGTGTCCTCATGCCTGATGGACACACAGAGGTGTCTTTACTGACTACCACTGGTACCTCAAGCAACAATTCTGCACCCTGAGGGACCACAGGGTATCCCCAGACCAGCAGCAGGGTCTGCACTGTGGACTCAAGATGCTTGAGGCAGATCAGGCATGGCTGTGCCTGGCATGGCTGAGGCAGCGAGAAATTTGGCTGCCAAACCACTGTGCAACTGGGGGACATGCACCCAGCTCCTGCCGCCCCCACCATGGTCTCTCTGGTCTCCGAGGGGCTGCCACCACACTGCCTGAAGTGGGAAATGGAAGCATCACAGGAGGCAAGGCTCAATGCACCTACCAGCTTGGCAGATGCTTGATGGTGGAAACATTTGTGTCCTCCCCTTTCACCCAGGATCCTAGTTTTAAAACTCACTTCTGTGTTATAGAATCATAGAATCTTAAGGTTGGAAAAGACCTCTAAAATCATCAAGTCCAACTGTTGACCCAACATCACCATCTCTACTAAACCATGTCCCAAAGTGCCACATCTACATGTTTTTTGCACACCTCCAGGGATGATGACTCCACCACCTCTCTGGGGAGCCTGTTCCAATGCCTGACCACTCTTTCGGTGAAGAAATTTTTCCTAATGTCTAATCTAAACCTCCCCTGATGCAACTTGAGACCATTTCCTTTTGTCCTTTCACTAGTTACTTGGGAGAAGAGACCAACACCCACCTCACTACAACCTCATTTCAGGTAGTTGTAGAGAGCGATCAGGTCTCCTCCTCTTCTCCAGACTAAACAACCCCAGTTCCCTCAGCCACTCCTCATAAGACTTGTGCTCCAGTCCCTTCACCAGCTTTGTTGCCCTTCTCTGAACATGCTCCAGCACCTCAACGTCCTTGGAGTGAGGGGCCCAAAACTGAACAGAAAATTATGAAGAGGAGAGCCACAGAAAGTATGAATGATTGGACCTGTCCTCCCACCTGCTCTCCAGCATTGGAGCACTGGCTTTGAAAATGAGTTAAGTGCCTGTTTAGGCTCCTGCTGTGCAAATGCTTTGTGTGGAAGAGCAGCTCAGGCAGTGTTTGCCTTGCTGGGCTCTGCCAGCTGAGTGAGCTCACCCCAGTGCAGTCCCACCACAAAACTGCCAATCACTGGCAGGACTGTGGCTGCCCACCTGGGAGGGAGACAACTGAAGTGAGCAGAAGCACAAGCTCCCTAGGTTCAGGAGCAGCCCAGAGCAAGCTGGTTCCTCCCTGGAGAGCAGAGAGGAGCATCTCCTGCTCTGAGCTGAAGAGCAAAGCCACCACTTTTGTCCCAGGCTGTCAAGAGCAGGAACATGTGAGATGTGGTCACCTCACTCACAGAGGGCCATGTGCACTCCAAACCAGCCTGTGAATGTCACTGAGCACAGAGCAAGAGCAACCAAGAGCAGTGTCAGAGCAGGACACCTCACTGGACATGTGGAGAAGAGCCTGGGACTGAGGTTGTCATCCTGCAGGCAGGTTCCCCACCTAAGGCCATCATCAACCCACCTCTCCCCAGCCTCAGACAAGCACTGCTGAGCACTTTGGCAAGGCTAAGGAGGTGTTTCCAGAGAAGAACTGAGAAGACACCCCATGTGCACACAGTGGGGGGGGGGCTCCTGTGGCCACTCACTGATGGAGATGTTGGCTTTGGCCTTCAGCAGCAGTTTGACGCACTCGGGTTTGTTGTGAGAGCAGCAGTAGTGAAGTGCTGTGTTCCCCTCCACCGTCTGCTTTTCCAGGCTCCCACTGCAGCAGAGGGTGGAAAATTTCAGCACCCTCAGGAAGAGTCGCCAGCCACAGCCACAGCAAATGCTGCCTGGGGCTGCCACATGAGTCCTTCTTCCCACTTCACCTGAAGAAGCAATGGTCACCACCACCATCACACCTCAACCCAGAGGAGATGAGGGAACCCAAGGCTCCTCTGATCTTGGGTTAGTTACCCCAAGCCCAGCCCAAGGCATGTTTGCTGGGAGGCCTGTCCTGGTGATCTTTCTCTTTTTGGGAGCATTTTGGAGAAGATCATCAGTCTTGCACCTTTCACTAGCACGGCTTAGCCATGGCAAGCGGACTGGGTGTCATGAGCTTACCTGTTCTGGACAAGAAAATCAACGATATGCAAGGAGGTTCGATCAGACAACAGCACTGCCAGGTGGAGAATGGTCTCCCCAGGATCCTGTAACCAAGAAAAATACAGCAAGGGTGAGACTGTGTCTGCCCGCACCACTGCTGCAGACCGGAGGGCTGTCCTTTAGGGACTGAGCCCTGGGGTGTGCAACATCTGCTCCCCATGGAGCTGCTTCTTGCTTGTTCAGTTTGTCCCAAGACATCCCATACTGATGGTGCTTCTTGCTCACTGCAGCATTTTGCTCCTTCACTTTTATGCTGGAGGACACCCACGCGTGTCCTTGCTGGCAAAAGGGGTGTCATGGCGGTGTGCCTGCAGCTCCAAGGGTTAGGGCCATGCTCTCTTCTTGCACTTACAGCAAGGACCCACGCTGCAGTTTTGCAGAAAAAAATGCTGCCCTGATTTTTCAGCCTACAGTGAGACTTGAATGTCCTGAGAAAATCTGCTCAGAAGTTTACAAGTAAATCTCAGTTACAAGTTGGCCTTTGGAAAGCCTTGGGCTTGGGTTATGACTTCTGGGCCACACACACACAGCACGAGGGGGCTGCGGGGTCACAGCCAGAAAACCTGCCTCTGCTGTGATGTTTGTCATCCTGCTTGAGTCTGCCTGTTGTTCCTGGCTCACAGAAAACACCGTTTTCATCAGAAAACTTTGTCTCCTTCCAGGCACAGGGACCCTTATGGACCAGCTGGAGAGGCAAGGGCAAAGCTGTTTGCCGTATGGGCCCACGGGACGGGTGGCCATACCTGCAGATGTGACAGCACAGGCTTGCTCAAATCCACGTTCTCTCCATACGCTTGAAGCAAAGAAAATATGTCCTTGTCCTTGACAGCTTCTGGGAGGCCAGAGCACTGTGCAGCAGAGCTCCTCTTAACATATTTCTTCTCGACATACTTGGAAATGATGAAATTTTTCCGAAAGACCCTGGCAGAGACCATCCAAATAAGAGTTAGGGGTCACAGAGTGAGCCAGTGAGCATCCCAGGGCCACCATCCTCCTCTCCTGCTGCCCCAGCCACCTTCCCTCTCTCTCCTTCAGACTTGCCAGACAGTTTAGCACTTTCCTCTCTCTGTCCCATTCCCCAAACTCCTCTGCATCAGCATTCATAATAACTCTTACAAAACAGTGTGGTTTTCTTAAAGCTTCCTCCTCTGCAGTTACATAGTTAAGCGAGAACTTGACTTTCATGCACTTAAAGTGCGAGCACTGCCATGGCCGGGGCAAGGACCCCTGCAACCACCGCAGGAAGCCAGAACCAGCTCCCCATCTTTCCTTCCAGCAGGGATCCCACCGCCTTCATCCAACACCCCACGGTCTTGTGCTGGGAGGGATGGGGAAGGGTCAGTGCCTCTCCCCCTCTCCCAGGCACTCATTGCTTTCCAGAACCCTCTCCGTCACCTCTGCTCTGGGATGAGGAGCCCTGATCCCTCCACCCTTCCTGGGTGGGAGATGCTCAGGGGTGCACTGGGGATTTATATATGGTCCTGGTGATGTTTTCTGCTCTCCTCTCCCTTCCCTTCCTCCCCTCACCTGTCCTTTGCCTTTCGGACCCCTCTGCACTCATGGTTCAGTATTGGGCTCAGCTCCCTGATAGTGAGAATTAGGGGAAGGAGCAGAAATCTCAAGGACTGGGAAACACCACATGGCATGAACTGCTCAAGAGCATCCATGGATCAAGAACAGCTTCCAGACAAGGATTGGCCAAGTAAGCTGGGTCTCTTCCCCTGGAGAGGTCAAGAACAGCAGAAGTGGTGACTGGCCAGAGGATCTGGGGTGGCTGCAGGTGCCCCAGGGGTGAAGGAGTGCTCCAAACAGAAAAGGCCATTGAGGAAAAGCTGAATTATTAATTTAACACAGTTTCAGTTTCCCCAGCATCCAAGCAGAAGGGTGGATCTGACAACCTTGACCATGCTGTTCCAGTTGTATTTTCCCGCTCTCCCAGGTCTCTGCTGCTCTCTCCCTGCCAAGTGCAGTTTCTTATCCACCTATTCACTGCAGGGTAGGTCCACACTGTCTAAACAGTGCCCTAGTCAGGACTTACATGCTTGTAATGGAACCTGATCATGCCTGATCTGCGTGCTCTTGTCTCCTGAAAGTCCCCTGACAATAAGGTCCCCAGCTATATGTTTCCCCCAAGAGCTCTGCTGCACCCCAGGTCTATGGCACTAAGCCCTGGAGAAGCCCCCAGCTATTGCTGGTACCAGCCATGCCACTCCCAGCTCTCCCCTGTCCTCTGCAGAGTCTAGAGGCTGGGGTGCTCTGGGGTGAAGGATCAGATCTCTGCTTGATGCCTACACTGATCCCAGCAACCCTGGGCCCCAGCCACTGGACACAGTGAACTGCTCTGCACCGCACAAGTCCCTGTTCCCTGTTCCACTCCACTCTCCTGCCCTCCCCTGTCTTGCTGATGTGCAGACTGGGGTGTCCTGCTTGGCAGCTCCACTTATTTCTCTTCTTGCCTTTCCCTTTCCAGCACCAATTCCTCAGTCCCTGTCCTGACCTCAAGGCTGTCCTCCTGGCTCTTCCTCACTCTTCTTCTCTCCTTTATCAAACCTTCCCTGCTGCACTTGATGAAATTGCTTCTAAAGAGAAGTTATGGTCTGGGGAGGAGATCAGGCAGTGCCATGTGCCTGGTCACTGCAGGGAGCACACAGGACCGCAGAGCATGTGCCCATGGCTGAGGACCTCATATCTAACCTACCACAAAAGAAAGCTCTTGCAGAGCAACTCACATGTCACTGTGCACTGTGGGCTTCAGGGAAAAGCTGGGGAGATTCGCTTCCATGATGTCGTTGAAGCCAGAGTTGCTGATATTCCTTGCCAGCTGCAAAACAACCAAGCTAGAGGTAACATGGGACATGCAGCAGCTCTATATGCGTGGCAGCAGGAGAAGGAGCTCCAGGCTGAGATCCTGACCAGGTATTGAGGGGATGCCAAGGGGTGCCAGGATGTGTGTGCCCAATGGCCAGAGACTCTGCCCTTACTCCTACTGCTGAGATCTCACAACTCCAGCAGTGCAGCCCACCCCAGACCTGATCCCTGAGTTCGGATCTGGGCAAGTAATAAACCCTGCCAAACACTCCCGTCCCCTGCCCTGATGCCCACCAACTGCCAGCAGCTCCCATCACAGCCCTACCAAACCCAGGAGCACCTGGAGCATTACAGCCCTAAAACAGCCCTGTGCAAGGTCTCCAACCCCCTAGCTCACCCCGCACTCTGCTCTACCCCAGTTCAAGCTTGGCCCTGCCCCACAGCTCCCATGCATCAGGGGACACAAATGAGGAGAGGGGACTGAGGGAGACGGGTGACCCAGCAACAGCGAAATTACTTCCCCCGCCTCCTCTTCCTTGAAGATGACAATTCCTGCCACAATAACCGCTAAACCCTGGGAATTACAGGTGTATATGAGTCAGTTTAACAGGTGAAAACCCCACTGAATTAACTTAGTTGCAGGAAGACCACAGCAGCGGCATGGGGAGACTTCAGGACAGAGCACACTGGCAGCGTCCTACCAGCAATTCGGAGGTTGCCAGCTTGTCCAGAGACAGTGACTGGATGCGGGATAGATGCACGCCCATCTCTCTGTGAATCCCAGAGCACTCAATGCAGATCAGGATGCCCAAGTTAACGGACAGCCAAGTGGGATCTGTAGAGACAAGACCACCGGGCTTGTGTGTATCTCCTGCCCCTCCTCCCCACTGGCCCACCCACCACCCCAAGGCACAAGCCTCACAGCAGGACAGAGGGGAAGGACAAGACCCCAGATTCTTGCGAGTCTCCAGGAGCCGGATGCTCTGCCTGTCCAGGGAGGAGGAAGCGCAGTGGCCCCACGGGCATGGGTTGACTCTCACCTGGGGCTGAGCAGTCGCAGCACTCCCTGTTCCCAGGCATGCCTCTGACCTCCTTGATGATGGCCCGGGTCAGCTCCTCCCGGCTGCTCTCCCCTCCACCCTGCGCCTTGCTGAAGGCCACGTTCAGCGCCTCCTCCTTGCTGTTGCTGAGGACGGACACCCAGCTGCACATGCAGAAAGTAGCTTAGAAGCGGGTCCCATGCAGCCCCGTTCTGGCTGCAGGGCGATGAGGGCAGCGAGGCTTGTCTCACTGCGGGGGGGAGATCCCGCTCTGCCCCAGCCTGCACAGCAGTCACCACACGCAAAGGTCCTGCACAGGATTCCAGCAGCAAACTGGGTGCCAGGAGCCTCCACCAAGCTCCATGTCCTGCTCACATCCAGCCAGCCCCCCAGGAGTGACCAGGACACAGTCAGGATGGGAAGGGCATCAAACAAAGGGCTACAGCATGCTGCTCAATCAGCCAAAGGCTGGCTCCTCATCAGCAGCCAGAAGAGCATTTTTTGGTCCACAGCAAGGCACTGGCAGTACTTACGCAACACAGTCCTGCTCATCCTCTGCCAGGAAGTGGTACGTGCGGTTGTCTGAAACACACAGAGCCAACCTCCTCTAGGCACCCCACTCATCCATCTCGCCTACCAGGCTCATGGCAGGGCACAACACGCCTGAGCTGGGCTCAGCAGAGCCCAGAGCCATCTCCAGCCTGGGCAGCTGGGGTGACAGCTCCGTCTCACTCAGCCCCTCCCCAGTACGCCCCAGCAAAGGGACCTGCTCTTGTACCAGAAACGAAGGATGCTGGTGTTAGCTAAGCTGCAGCCTGGGAACTACATTTGCATGATCCCCACGCACCCCGCACTGCCCCACAACAGTGCTGCCTGTCTCACACCCTGCGTGTGCATCACTGCTCCTGAGAAGAGCTGCCTCCTGGCACAATTTCCCCAGGCTAATCCCCCCAAGCTGACCCAAAGCTGCAGAGCTTCCCCTCATCCCTGCCTGCGCTGGCTCTCCGAGGCCAAAGCACTATTGCCTCTCCAGGCCCTCCCCAGACGAACTGCAGGGCAGGCACCAGCACTCACGGGAAACTAGATCGAAGCATTTCTTGTCATCCGTGCTGGGCTTCACCTGGCAGGTCAGCAAATTCAGCTTGGCTGGTGGGCGGTTGAGCTACAAGCAGAATGAGGAAACATCAAAGTCTGTGGTCCAGTGGTGAGGAGCACCACCAGGCTCTGGAGGCAGAGCAATGGACTTGCCTTGTGCCCAGCACTTTGTCTTTGCCTCCACTCTCAGGAGCAATGCAAAAATAGCAACATGTACCTTTTCCTTCCCAATAGCCACCCCATGCTTGGAGCCAGGTCCCCTGGCTCATGCCCCTCCATGCACACAGGCACATGAGGATCTCCTGTGTTTGTCTAAATTTCTCTTGGGTTGAAGTGACTGAAGTTTCAACAGAAAGCCTCCTACACCAGGGCAGCCCAGCAGGGCAAGCAGCAGGCACAAGGGCTCTGACGAGCCCCAGGAAGCCACTAGCGTGGCTGGCAGTGGCATGCTCTGCAGACCCTGCAGCAGTGGGCAGCAGCTCCCAGGCAGAAACAGAGTGGAAGAAGTGGTTCTTACCATGCTGTGAGAAATGGTCAGGTAGCCATTGCTGATAGTGCATTTCCTCTTCTGCCAGACTTTTCTCAACCTGGAAATGAGCAGAGGGTGAACCGAGAGGATGAACACACGGAGGACCAGATGCTCAATACAGCGCAGCGCTGGCAAGAGCCATGCAATGCACAGCACAGGGCTGCAGCTCCCATCACACGTGCCGGCTGGGCTGCCATGGACACGGTCTGTTGCTCTTGGTCTGTTCTGGGCTGAGAAGGACATAAGACACGCTTGTACAGACAGGCAGCACAGCTGCTGTGGAGATGATACATGTGCCAAGCATCAATTGGGGCAGCAGGACCTGCTAGCAGAGCACAAAGACCTTTGCAGAAGCCCTCAGCAAACATCCAAGATGATCACTTCCAGACTACTCCCAGGCTGGCTTTCCTGTGCCTGCCACTCAGGGCAGACCATAACACAAGAGAAAAGTGGAAGAGATATCCCCAAAAGGGGAGAGAGACTGAACTTCAGTCTGTGGTGCAGGAGACTCCTGAGCCCCATTTCATTATTTTCTTTCCAGTTTCATGTTTTTCTAGGACACTTCACAGTACTTTCCAGGTGTGCAGGTCTCCCAGCACAGGACCCCTGTGATTCCCAGCAAGCATCCTCCCACGCACTGGTGGGAGATGATCCTCTTTCCAAACACAGTGGAGTGCTTTCTAGGAGGTCAGGGTCTGCCCTCTGGGAGAGGGGCACATGATGGCTGCTGGCTCTCCCCTCTGGCCCACAATGCCATCTTCAAGGCAGCACTGACCCACGCTGTGTCTGATTCACCCCACATTTCTGCTCCTTCCCCTAATTCTCACTATCAGGGAGCTGAGCCCAATACTGAACCATGAGTGCAGAGGGGTCCGAAAGGCAAAGGACAGGTGAGGGGAGGAAGGGAAGGGAGAGGAGAGCAGAAAACATCACCAGGACCATATATAAATCCCCAGTGCACCCCTGAGCATCTCCCACCCAGGAAGGGTGGAGGGATCAGGGCTCCTCATCCCAGAGCAGAGGTGACGGAGAGGGTTCTGGAAAGCAATGAGTGCCTGGGAGAGGGGGAGAGGCACTGACCCTTCCCCATCCCTCCCAGCACAAGACCGTGGGGTGTTGGATGAAGGCGGTGGGATCCCTGCTGGAAGGAAAGATGGGGAGCTGGTTCTGGCTTCCTGCGGTGGTTGCAGGGGTCCTCACCCCAGTGCTCACAGGGTTTGAGAGGACGTTTGGCAGCTTCATGGGAGAGGAATGCCCTCAGAGCTAAAAGACAGACACAAGCTGCCCAGCACCCTGTGTTGAAAGCTTTTGGAGGCTGGGACAAGCACACCTTCATGCATGCTTGTCCTGTTCCTCTCTCTTGTGGCCACCCCAGGGAGAGAAGGCTAGTCTGGGTGAACCCTGCTCTGGCCCCAGGTCACCAAAGCACAATTGAAAGGAGCATGCTGGATCCCAACTTACCCATCACTTTTCTTGAAGAGGGTCCCTGACTTCTCTGTGCCGTACTGCTTGTTCCCTTGCAGCTGGTGCATGTTGTACCCTGCCTGCTTGTTCCCAGGGTCCTGGCAGAAGGAGAAAAATAGCAGCAAGACCTAACCCCATCAGTACCACTGGCAACCAAGAGCATGTCCTCACCGGACTGCCTGTGGTCCCCCAGAGCTCAGCAGAAACCCCAAGGCTTTCTGCATCAGCAGGCAGGCACTATATAAGCAGCTGCCATGCCCTCTACAGGCACCACCCCATGTTCCCTCACAAACAGGATCATACTTTACCTCTTTCTGCTCCAGCCGCAACGCTGTTTTCAGCTGATCCCGAAGGGAGCAGAGCTGCTGCTTCTCCTCGTCCTGCCTAATCTTCATCTGAAAGGTGCCGGAGCACAGTGAGGCACACGGCAGCAGGAGGCTCCTGCCTCAGCTGCAGCATCCCACTCCTTCCCCCAGGTGCAGCGGAGGTGCCCCCACGCCACCCTCTGCCCTCGCTGCCTCCTCGTGTCCGTGGGATGCACCAAGCCCCATTCCTACGGTGGGAGGTTGCAGTGCCATGGTATGTGGCATGTGCAAGAAGCACTTCAGTGGACAGCTCGTTGGGGGGAGGGAACAGGCATGTCCTCAGTGCCAGGACTCCAGAAACATGAGACCACAGGAGAGCAGTCTGCATTTTACTGAGAAAACAGCTGTTTGCAGCTCTCTGCAGTGTAAAAACAACCAATAGCTTAAAGGTCACCATGGTGGTTGTTTTTTTCCCTTGGTCGTGTCAGTAATTAAAATAATTAAAAGTTCTCCAAGCCATCAGAAAGTTGATGGACCTTGGCAGAGGAATGTGGCCCTGAAACAGATCCTGGGGGTTTGTCTGCATGAGGGATCCATAAGATACTGCTTCCTGTGCTCAGTTACCCTGCTCTGGGGTGGCACCTCCCCTCTTTTTGTTATTGACATAATGAATTTTAATATGAATTATTACAAATTATGGAACAAGCAGGGTAATACCTCTAAAGCAGATTAATTCAAAGCAGCAGATGCTCAGAGGAGACCTGCCCTACAGGACCAGGGTAGATGAGTACAAGTGATGCTGACACAGTAGCTGGGTGAGGACCATATCCCCAAGCCTCTGAAAAGTTTGACTTGCAAGGAGGTATGGAGAAGGATGAGAAAGACCAAGCAAACTGGAACAGATGTCTAGAAATGCTGGGAAATGGACATAAATTCTGTGCTGCACTTGGAGTACGTCATACTACCTGGGATATGAGTGCTCAGACTGTCTCTGAAAGCCTTACCACTTGGAAAAACTCCTTTCTGTCTCCGGGCTGTGTATGACTGACAGAGCCCAAAGTCAAAAGCTAAAGTTCACAAGGCTTACACGCTTTACATGCCTTGGCAGCAACAGGCATGGAAAGCTAAGAGCACAAATGAGAAATCTGGAAGTCTGCAGAGCAGCTAGGGCTTTGGCAGATGAATACATTAGTACCTCCTTGGTACCCATGTTTATGCTTGTTCTTCCTACTCTGTGTCCTGGAGTATGGCACTGTAATTTTGCCACTCTCAGTGATGGCTGCATTTCACCCCTCCATGGGCCACTGCACATCAGAGGATCAGGAAATAATGATTAATAGCTGTGAAGAGCTGCAAAACTCCTCAGTTCTGCTTCTACAGAGGAAGAGGTGGCCCTGCGGAGGACATCACTGCTCTCCAGTCTGCTCCTGCTTGCTGTACCCAACTTCTGATGAATACTCACACTCTGCAGCTCCGGGATGAGCTTCTCTGTAAAATTCTTAAGTTTTGCTGTTGTGTTTAAACATTCCTGGAAAAAACTGAGAGGAGAAGGTAATGTAAGGGTGTGTCCTGAAATCCTGCTCTTAGCACAGGCTGTGAAGCCTGCAGACCCCGTCTCCCTGAGCTCCTGCCGCAGAGCCCATCATGCCTTCAGCAGGCAGTGCTTTTGCTTCATAGTTGAAAAAATCTTTCTTACGAAATGCATTTTAGAAAGATTTGGAGGCAGTTAAATTCAGGGAGAGCGCTCAGCACTCTGTCTTCTTTGCATCCAGATTTCTCCTTTACACTGGCTTATGAAAATGTCAGACTAAAGAGAGGAACCACACCCCGTTGAGATCCTTGCCTCCACCGCCTCCAGAAGAAGAGGACTTTCGGCAAGTTACAAGACAGACCAAGTTGACTGCAGGAACCCAGGTCCTGCAAGTTAAGTCACCCCCCAGGTCCCATCTACAACCAGCACTTCTGGTTGGGTGTGCAGGAGGGTTACCGGTCGGTCTTACTTGAACTGTGAGCTGCAGTGCTTGATGTGGTTTTGCAGTAGGTCAATCCCTTTCTTGGTTTTGATCTCATTCACTTTGATCAGATACTGAAGGGAAAAGGACACATGAACTCATTTTGTAGCTTAGAGAGAAATACCCTTTATGCACTTTTTGATGCCCCCCCCTCCCAGTCTGTTGTGACCCATCCTGGCAGTCATGCCCTGATGGGAGTGGCTCATGTGGCTTTTATGGGGTGAGAAGACAGTGGTAAGCAGGGCCCAGTGCTTTGATCTGGACAATAGAGTGGTGGACCCACAGTGGTGGCATGGACCCTGGGCTTTACTTATGCAAGGCAAACACTCAGTTAACACACCCTCAAAGATTCACTATTCATGGTGCCTTCACTGAAGAACGGCCAGCTTTCCTATAAACCCTCAAACCTCATCACTCAAGAACCAAGTTCATTCAAGACCCACTAGACTTGATCCATGAACCACACCCCCTCCACCTGACCCTACTGACAATGTCAATGCTGTGAGCCTGCCTGTATCCTACATGCAGCTGGCGTCTCAGTCTGCCTTGAGGACCTTCAGAAGCGAGCTGAAGATTCAGATTTCCAGCCCAAACTTATCTGCCAGCCCATCCTCCACCATAACGATCTCACCCATGAAAACCGACACTGGCCCTTTGAGTTGGTGGACTGACAATGTGAAACAGTGCGTTGTGCTGTGAAACTTGTTGAATATTTCTCCATCCATCCCTGGACTACTCCTGCACCAGCATCAGCTCTCTTGACATTGCACCTACTGTAAAAACAGCAACCTACAAACAACCTTTTCCAGAAGATCAACCACAGGCCAACATAGTAAATCACCTTCCAAAATACATGGCCAACCTCAGACTTCCCTGTATTTATTCTGAGGGAGTCATTTAAAACACCCTCGATCCATCAGAAGAAGCGTTTCCTAGAAAATGCCCTCTCAGGAACCCGAATGGCATGTGTGGACTCATATCAGCGCAGAACAAAACCTCCACCTGACCTACTGGCTCTGTTCAAGGATGCAGCTCTGTAGCATAAGGGCTTCTGCTATTTGCAGTAGAACAAGTTTCAATACGGAAACAGCAACTGTTTCCAAAACATGGTTACAAAGAGCTGGATATTTTGAATGAAATTGGTATCTTCCAATCTTTTACTCATGCAGTTGCTTGCGACATGCGGCAGTGGGAGCAGGAAATTCCATTTGCATCCGAGTTGGGCCGAGTTTATCCCAACAAGCAGAGGGAGGGCTATGGTGGAACCGTCTGAGAGGGAGCAGGGACCTCAGTGCCAGCAGTGCCCACTGCGGGCAGTCGGGAAGAAGCTTGGATCCAAAGCCTTTGTGGGATTTTTCCCAAATTGTTATCTCTACTGCCAGGTTCATATGGGCCTAAGCTTTGGCTAAACTCCTTGATCAGCCCCTGCCCTGGGTTAGCTTGAGCCTGCCACAGCCCAGGCAGTTCTCCAGCTGAGGGAATATGCCCAGCATCTCTCAGCACAATGGGTGTGACCTGCTGAGCACCTCAGTGCTGCTCCCCAGGGGCCAAGCAGAGGGAGCTGCCAGATGCTGCTGGTGCCTGGGGCAGAGCCTGGGAGACTTCAGCATCTCAGGAAGATGAAAAGGGACCTGTGATACCCTGGACACAAGCATCACTCACTGACCAGGGACAGAAGATGGCACTGAATGAAAAAATCAGTGTGGATTCAGACAAAAATGCCACTTTGAAACAATCCCAGGTCAGAGGACAAGCGAGAAACCATCAGGAACATCCCTGCTGACATCTGCCTGCTCCAGACCAGGCTCTGCCAGGCCTGTGGCACAGCTGCTGTGCACTAATGGAGGGGAACTTCATCCCTTGGATGCCAATTCAGCAACTCTAATGCCACTCTGTGCAGCACAGGCTGGTCCCTGTCCTTACCTCGCACATGTTCAACTGGAAGGTCCTGCGCTCCTTCTCCATCTCCTCAGCGATCTCCCCCCCGCTCACCTCGCTCCGCACCATGCCGTGCTGCTTCGCCAGTTCGCGCTTCTCCTTCTCAATCTTGGCACTCAAGGAAAGAGGAGAGACGTGTGAAAGGCTCCATCCAACTGCTCACCAGCGAAGGCAGACAAAAACCACCCAGTCCAGGCGTTGGGGTGAGGGAGCCTGAGGACTTACAGTTTGTTCTCATAGTCTTTGCAGGCCTTCTCAAAGGGCTTCTTGAAGTCCTAGGAAGAGCCAAAGGAACCATTTAATGACCACGACTGGGACAGAGCCTTCCTCGTCTTCAGCGTACTGCATTCCCACTGCGTTACCCTAGCATAAAGGTCCTTGCAGACCCAGGACATGGTGATCCACAGCAGTGTCCCTCCCCAGGAAGGTCCTTGCCTCTCCTCAGTGCACAGCAGACAAGTGAGCTCACCAGCGCAGGTTCACTCATGGGCACACGCTTGCACACACATGCAAATCAGATAGGCTCCAAAACATACATCACACATATGTGTGTCACACAGGTATGTACATAGCAGTACCCAGCTATAACACCTTTCACAGACTCACAATTTTATGGGCAGAAGGACATTGCTCAGACATGCATAAGCCATAAAGTTCCAACCAGGTTCTCACCTGCTGAAGCCAAAATGTCGTGTTTAACCAAAACGCCACTCAGAGAGACATCAGAAACCCACCCGAGCTTGGCAACATCAGCACAATCTGATTCTTCCCCGGGTATTCATTTAATGGCAAATTAGTCTTGCTGCTAAAAAGCCATCATTTGTTAATCATTTGACTTTGCGCAACTTTAGCTTCTCTCCAGTGGTTAACAGCTTGGTATGTTCATCTGCACCTGTCCATTAAATGCATTTACTCAGATCACCCATGTTGTACCCTGTTCTCACCACATACTGTTCTGCAAACCTCTGTGTCAAAGACAGACGAATAAACCAGGCTGGAGGGGACTCAGGAGGTCTCTGGTCTAACCTCCCACTCAAGGCAGGGACAGCACTGAATTCAGACCAGGCTTTGTGCAGGCAGATGTTGAAAAACCCCAAGGATGGGGATCCCACAGCCTCTCTGGGTCCCTGCCCCCCGAGGTGAAATCTCTTTATTTATGCCAAAGCAGAACATTTTCAGGACAAATCTTGCATTTATCTCCATTCTAATGAAAATGTCAAACTGATTCAGGTCAGCCTCTGGTTCCTGTTGGATCCCTTCAGCTTAATCATGACTCCTTGAGGGCAGCTGGGTTTTCTCCTCTCTCTTGGCCTGTTTTCTCAGTTCCCAATCTTCTTGACATCATCCTTAACAATGCAAACAGTGGATTCTTTCCTTCATATTTTACATTCTTTTATCAATTCACTTCACATTAGAAGTTCCAGAATTTGCTCTCTCCTTCCACTTTCATGCTCCTGTATAGCACAAGGTTCCAAACAGATGCCTAAATGCTCATAATTTGTTTCAGTATTTGGCAATTAGTTCTTTGGAAGTCCCCATACCCTGCCACAGTTCCCATCCCTCTTTCTGCAGTCCTGTCCAAAACCCGCCCTCCACTTTCCCAGAGGTTCAGCTGTTTGCTCAAGGATCCCCAGCCCAGCTCTGAGGAATGCTTCATCAAGCATCTGAGGAAACTGCAGAGCTGGGAGAAAAAGCTGAGAGAAAATCTACAGACTGTAACTGTACAAGATTAAAAAGGGTAAAATTACAGAATTCAGGTTGTTGAACCAGATTCATTAGTAGCTCAAGGATTCAAGAGGAAAAATAGTATCACAGAAAAATGTAAAATCTTAAAAGATGATGACACAGAGGGTTTGTCAGAGTGTCAGCAGCTCTGGTGGAAGATGGCAATAAGCAATAGCAAGAATCTGTTGCAGGGAGCAGCAGCGCAAGCCCTGCTCCTCCCGAGCTGGTCTGCCTGGCCAGCACGATTCCTCAGGCATCTCAGCATGGTGCTGAGCATGCTAACACCGAGCTCATTAAATCCAGACGATCCTTTGTGTGCATCAGCCAATAAATAATTGCTTTACTGTTTCAAATCATACCTACCCTGCTCGCAGAGTCTCTGTGCCAAAAACCACCCAGAGAGGAACGGTGCCAGGTCACAACTGGCAGCTGCTCCACCACATTAGATGCAGGCTATGATCAGCAATCCCTCAACAGTGACCTCACTCCAGCATCAGGATCGGTCCAGCCTCCTCACCCAGAACACCCACAGGCACGGGGCACCCCTACGCAGGCAGAGGCACCCAGGGGCCATCGCGCAGAGCTGATGGCCTGAGTGCAGCCACAGGGACTTAGTGGTAGGAACGTGTGTGCAGACTCACCAAGGATCATGATGACCTTCCCATTGGTTAAAAAAAAGGAAAATTAAATACTATTTTGATGCTTTTCCTAAAATCTACACTGATGAGCACTGTGAAGCTCTTTGATATCTCTACAGTGCTGAAGACCAAATTGCATGGTCTTTTTAGTACTTGCTACTCTGCAGCCCTTGAGAGGTACCTGCAGCTGGTGGATACACACACGCAAGCTCAGATTCACACCAACACATGTGTGCGAAAGCCACAGGTGGGTCTGCAGGGACAGGGGGAACCTCACTGGGAGGTTGTAGGGGAATTTGTGCACTGATGGCCAGGGTAGATATCAATATTTGGTGCACAATACCCTAATTTTTTCCACACATAGTGAATGCCACCAGACTCCTCCAGATTCAACCAGGTGCCTGCAAGCAGGCAGAGGTCCAAGCTAAGGGGCACGACTAACTTGACGTGGTGTGAGGCATCAGCCTCAGGAGGGAGCAGGATCTGGCACCCAGGAGATGCAGGCAGATCTGCCCTTCCAACATGTATCCCTGCTGGAGGGCAAGACGTGAGCCAGGGATGAGACCTCCACAGCAGGTACCTGCCCTGTCTCCAGCCACCCACTTACCAGCCCCACCTCGGTGCAGACCTTTCAGCCCCCACTTACCCCTTTGAGCTCTTTCATGTCACCCTTTATTAATGACTCCAGGGAAAAGTTAATGTTGTGGTACAAACTCTGCCACTGGAAAGGAAAGAGAGAGAGCACACCACTAGCACTGCACCCCTGCACCGCTCCTTGTGCAGAGAAAGCAGAGCTGTTTGTGCACCTGCGGAGGAACCGCTTTGGGTAACAGTCAGCTGAAAGCCTCCATCCTTGGAAATTACCAAGCTGGAAAAAGCCACAGCCAGCCTGATCCAGTGTTGGTGAGAGCTTCAAGTGGGATGGTGGACAAGAGACCTCCAGTGGCCTCTTCTGAGCAGCCTCAGAGATCTGCACAGATGGCCTCAGCTGTGCCACTGGCTCTGCAATCACATGCCATGGTCTCCTGCCTCTGTCTGGGGAAGGGGACGAGCTTGGACCTCCAGGCTGTGACCCAGAGCCTGCTGCTCTCCCTGAGGACCCCTACCAGCATCCCCTCGCAAGCCAGGGTCCCCACTCTGATGTACATGCCGGCGACAGAGCTGCCTACCAGGCTCCTGACAGCGGTCAGCAGCTCCCGGGAGAAGGCAGCAAAGGTGCTAAAGGCACTGGCCAGCTGCTCCTCGCCCTCCAGCTGGTAGTTGGCTGAGAACTTCTCCTGAGCAGCAATGTGGGCTTCGAGGTGGCTGATGAGGTCTAGGGGAACATGGATGGTCTCTGGTAAGTGCAGAGGGAAGGTCAGGATGAACACCCAACCTCTGCCTCCCTCCTGGGAGTCACCATGCCCAGTTCTGTTCATGCACCCAAACCAGTTCCTGTGGCTTCCTGCTGCCACCACCACTACTACCCAACTATACAGACCCCTGAGACCCACATTCCCTGCTCCAGTCAACCCGATCCACAGCGAGGACTCCCCTCATCCATCCATCCATCCATCCATCGCTGTCTCCCCCCTCTTGAGGCTCCATTCTGCCCTGACCTTGTCCACAGCTGTGCTCTGCCTTGGCTGCTTTCCTCATCTTCTGCAGCACAGCTCGGTCAGCATCCAAGGCCTAGAAAGGCAGAGGAGATGGTCACTGACTACATCCATATATGCACTTCTGTAACCCACAGGGCTTAGCACAAGCCTCAGCATCCCCAAGCTGGACTGTCCTGCCAGCAGGTAGGTGATGATCTAGTGGCAGTAGTCCGTGTATATCTTAAGTATCTGCAAGCCTTCCTGATGTTCTTCTGAAAGAAGCATTAAGAGAGAAGTGGAAAATATATTAGAAAAAGGAACATACAGCACTGACAGAAAATGTGGATTTCAGTGGCAAGAGACTGTTAGTTACAAATTGTATTTCCATCACTGTCGGTGTCATTCCTGGGCTGAGAGGAGGAGGCTTAGGTGGCTAAGGCATGTTTGGAGGCATCTAAACTCTTTGCCTATGAGAGACTGGATTACAGATGTTATTTCACATAAGCACTGCTTGGAAGGGTTCTCATGCAATCTCTTGTTAGGAGCAGGATTATTGTCAATACCAGATCAGATTGGCTATGCTTTGCTTAGTTGGGCTTTGAAACCTTCCAAGGATGGAGGTCACCTCTCTAGTGACCTCTTGCAGGGCTGCACCACCCTCTGCAGAAGAAACTTTTTTCAACATCCATCCTGAACTTCCTGAGCCACAAAGTGGCTATTGCTGCATGTTACATCATCTGGTGCTGCCCAAAAGATCTTGACACCATTGTCTATAACTGCCTTAGATGAGCTGTGGGCTGCTGTCAGACATCCCTTCTTCACCCAGCTAAATCAGCCCAGCTCTACTTCTCTATTACTATCCACTGACCCTCTCTAGTGTCTCCACATCACTCCTGACTGGGGACAGTGTTTCAGGTGTGACCCATCACTGGACTGTGAGCCCTGACAGCTCCCACACTGGGCTGGCCCTGTAGGGAGTGAAAGGGCTTTGCTCCAAGTGTTGTCTTGACAGTGCCAGAGCTCAAAGACAGGGTACAGGCTTTTCAGATCCATAAACACTGATTTGTGGGAGAAAACAGCTCTACAGCAATTTGGAAATGCAAAGAACAGCTCAGGGTGGACTTGCACACTACAGCTAAGGCTATTTAACAGCTGAGTGGTCGGGTGGGTACCCAGGGGAGTAGTACCACCACTGGCTTTTTCCTCCATTGTGCACCACATCAGACAAGCCACAAGGCTGAACCCGCGTAGTAGGGGAGAATGTGAGTCAGGCTCTGTGTGGGTCAACACAAGCAAGACTGTGGCATGCAGGGACATCACCATAAATGTTTAGATACCCAAGGAACAATAGTGCTAGAAACTTATCTGCCTGCACGTTTCCAGATTTCAGTGCAGCAGGGACGTTGCGAACTTGAATTATGGACCCCAAAACAGGAGGTGCCAGACTCTGCTCCCCAGAGAAGAGCTGCCACCCACAACTCTTAGCACCTGCACAGAATCACAGAATCCCAGACTGGTTGGGGTTGGAATGGACCTCTGGAGATCATCTAGTCCAACACCCCTGCCAGAGCAGGATCACCCAGAGCAGGTTGCACAGGATGGTGTCCAGGCGGGTTTGGAATCTCTCCAGAGAAGGAGACTCCACAACCTCTCTGGGCAGCCTGTCCCAGGGCTCGGTCACCCTCAGAGGGAAGAAGTTTTTCCTCGTGTTCAGATGGAACTTCCCGTGTTCCGGTTTGTGCCTGTTGCCCCTTGTCCTGTCACTGGGCACCACTGAGAAGAGTCTGGCCCCTTCCTCTAGACATCCACCCTTTAGATATTGATAAGCGTTGATCAGATCCCCTCCCAGGCTTCTCTTCTCCAGACTAACCAGCCCCAGCTCTCTCAGCCTTTCCTCATACCAGAGATGCTCCAGGCCCCTCACCATCCTCGCAGCCCTCCGATGGACTCTCCCCAGTAGTTCCCTGTCTGTCTTGAACTGGGGAGCCCAGAACTGGACACAGAACTCCAGATGTGGCCTCACCAGGGCAGAGCAGAGGGGGAGGAGAACCTCCCTCGACCTGCTGGCCACACTCTTCTCAATGCACCCCAGGACACCATTGGCCTCCTTGGCCATGAGGGCACACTGCTGATTCATGGTCATGCACCTTCTTGTCCAGCCCAGTTTGGGACTGAGGTTTTCCAGCCAAGCCCTCAAATAGAGATTCCTGGGGCAATTAACATAGGAGCAGTAGGACTATGCTCACACCAGGCATTGCAAATCCAGGGAATTCAGTATTACGGTTCAAAGAGATCCCCATGAGCCAAGGTCAGAAAGGCAGTGGTGGGATAGGGCACCTGAAGCATCTGACCATTGTCCTTTGGCAAAGCTGTTGGAGACACTCATACCCTCATGTTCAGAAGATGACTTTAGGTTAATCCAGGACTTCAAGGACTAACACATCCCCCTCACAACCATATGGTTACTGTGAGTGCTGCCATGAGGCAGGCACAGTGCCCTCCTGGGCCACAGCTCCCTGCAGCTGTCTGAGCCATTGCCATGTGGGCTTCATCTTGCTAACTTTAGGCATCCCTTCACCCTTCTTCAGGTGAAGCCCTTTAGGCTTAGGTGAAGCCCATGTCCCTTGCAGAGGCTCCACCAGGACAGCTTTCCCAGTTCCAGATGTGTCTCATCTGTTCAACCCTACAGCAGATTTTAGCCACACAGGTGGACACAACCTCTTCCCTTACCTATCGACCCTTGTACATGGCACATGGAAGGAGCAATGTGGAGCCTGCTGCTGCTGAGACCCTGGTCTCCAACCTCCTAGTGGCCTCCAGAGACTCTCCCCCTCAATCTCCTCTGCTGCTGGGACCCACCCAGACCAGGACAGCTGTCTCCTTCCCAAAATGTCCCTGGAGCCTGCCCAGGTCCCTTGTGATGCCAGTTGTGTTTATACTTCATCTTTTACCAGAAATTCAGCTCTCCACACACAGATGCTCAAACCTCCCACATCTGTGGCCTTCCTCTTTCTTTCTCCTAACAATCCCCTCCCTGAAGGTGTTGCCTTGGTCCACAAGCAACCCATCCCCACCTTTGGGACCATTCCCTGCCTGCTGGGCAAATGCTCTCAGGCCAAGAGGCTTCCCTGCTTCGGAGGAGCAGCACCAGGGTAGGACTGCTCCATGTCATCCCAGAAGCCATCATCACCAACAGGCACCCCCACCTCCCCGGGCCCCCCACATCCAGTGAGCGCAGCTGCAAGAGGCAGCACTCCCTCCAAGGATCATGAAGTGTGTACAAGTACAGTCGCTGGCCACAAGGCAGGAAATTACATATCTGGCACTTGGCACAGGAAACCCCAAGCTCCCTTCCCTGCCCGCACTTCTACCTGCATCCGTTTGCCTTGCAGGCACGGATCTGGTTCTGCACTCAGCCGAAATGTGCAACTATCCCTTTGGGGACCTGCCTCCAGTGGTGGAAAACCAGCTGACGTCCTCTGTCCTCCCCCTGCAGCTCAGCACTCCTTCCCTCTGCTGCCCACGCCGCTGCCGGGCTCGGCGCACACTGCGCCAGGGCTCTCCTTGCTCAGGGACCGGCTCTTGCTTTGTTTACTGCTTTACCCCACACTGGTGCTGCTCTTTGTTACAAGCAGGCACCTGCTGACTGCTGTTTGCACACACGAAGACTCTTTGCTGTACAAAGTTTTCCACACCATCAATAAAAGCTGATGGTTGAACCACTGCAGAAGTCACTGTCACTGGTATTTCTGCCTTTCAGAGGTGAGACCGAGGAACGGAAGCACCCTGTGACTCCAGCTTTTCCAGATGTGTTTTCATCCCTATCTGTGATTTCCATGGTGCTGGAGTCACAGCACACTTCTTTCTCAATAGTTTTCAAGAGTGCAGAAAAACTCAGACTGAGAGCGACCGTCAGTTCACATCATCTGATCATCTGAGCAGACATGGCATTAATTCTCACATGACAACATTAGAGGAACCTATACCCTGTGTGGGACTGGGTGGTTTCCAGAAAGATGCCCAACCTCTGTTTAGAGAGTGTGGAGACCAAGCATTCTCTACAACTTTTGGCCACATACACCAGTAGTTCATTAAGTCACAGCTAAAATACTGCAACTAATTTCTTTTTTCATTTCAGTTTCAGCTTTTGCTCCCAGCTGCAGGCTCTTGCTTGCCCTTCTCTAGCACCGGAGTCTTCCTCCCAGTGAAAGCACATAGACTACTGCACAGGTCAGAAGGAATTAAGTCCCAGGCAGGAACCCGGTCAGCATCACCTGGCTGCATGGTGAGAGTGTGTCAGGCTCAGGGAGGAAGCAAGACACAGGCAGCACTGATGCAGGCAGAGAAGGACCTTCCTCTAGAACAGGCAGCTCCTGCTGACACCAACACCCAAGCAAGTGCAACTGGAGATATCCCCACGATGTTGGAATTTGTCCTTGCTATCTGCTGAGCCCAGCTCTGATCTGCACCCAAAGATGAAATCACCTCCCTGTGTCTCCTGGCTTACACAAGTGCTGCTACGTGGCTCACACCACTGCTCCCTGCTTTTGCTGCAGCAAATCCCCCGCAGACTGTACTGGGTGTTGCTGCCGCGCAGCACCAGGATCGTGTCCTGAGTTTTACGTCCACACTGACATGCAAGTCCCCAGCCAGGATTCAGCAGTGTTTCTCTCTAACCACAGCTTCCTGATGTAGCAGCTCTGTTTTAAAGGGCTGAAGTTTTAGCTTTGCTTGGGGTGTGAACGATAGAGTAACAGTTGAAAATTAAGCAACACAAGGAAATTGCCCCATGCCCAGAGGGTCCTGAGCAAGCCCCAGCCTCTGCAGGACTGAGAAGAACAAAACCCCAGTCACCACCACTGACAAAATGATCTACAGGAGCACAGCTCCCCATCTGCTCCGGCACTGGGGCAACTCAGGGCAGTGCGGCAGTCACAGCCCACAGACATGCCCAGATAAGAGTCCTGGGCACCATCCCCTCATCTGCTGGGACTACAAAATAATGAGACAGGTGACATGGTTGTGGTGCAGTTTGGCTGCTCCCAGCACACTTACCAGACCTACCAGGAGGAGGCACCAAGAGGCCTGGAGCCCTCTGGACCACCATACAGAGAGTCCCACCGCAGTGGCAACATCTCATGGATATTTTCCACGGGGGATCAGGATTTGTCCAGGAATAGGCCCGCGTGATGGTTACACTATAGTGGCTGTAGTTTTCAGCTACGTCCCAAGGCGAGTATAGGTGGGTGGTGGGATGCTCTCAGTAGGAAGCCTGGACCCTCCACTGAGCTGATCTTATCCTCACGCACAGTCTTCCTGGGACATTAAGCTCTGATGCTTGCTCCCTCACATGCCAGCAGCATGCAGCAACCCCTTCCCCTCCTGCACCGCACCTGATGATGCCTATTGGGGTGTTTTGGCTTTTGCCATTGGTCAGAAAACAAAGGCATTTGGCCCAAATACGCTTTGCATTGGACACTGTGCTCAGCAGCGAGATCTCACCCAAGCTCTATGAATTTTTGGATCCATTCATGCATTTGGGCTCCAAACATCCCACATCGGCATATCCCACAGCTTAACTCTGGACAAGTGAGGAAACCTGCTGCCCCCAAGAACTTCCTTTCATTTTTTTATTTTGCTTTTAGTTTGATACTAGTCTGGTCAAAGGGTTCTGTCCTCTCTTTACCATTTGGTGTGAGCCACAAAGCCTCTCCCCCTTTGCTCTTGTCCCCACCGATGCCTGTCACCTGGCCACCAGGACCCGTCACAAGCCTTCGCCAAACGCTGAGTGTTTTGCAAACACCCAAACATGCTTGCACCACTCTCCATTCACAGTGACAGACAATATGGTGATGCCTGAACTGGGGTTCAGATCCTGCAGGACCTCGATGGGGACAGCCCCCCCAGGCCCTCGGGGTGCGCCCCCGCAGCCCCCGCCCCTGCTCACCTCCTCCAGGCTGTTGGCAGTGGCCTTGCAGCGGCCCATGTGGCTCCCGGCCG